AACTATATATCACAACAGATCATTTTGAAACTTTGCCAATTTATTATGCAGTTATTTCGGACTTCAGGATTAAAACACTTAAAAATAAATTCTTATTTCACATGATAGAAATTTTTTTTAAAAAGTAAAATACTTCGGAAGTTGCACAGCATACATTTGGGAAACAGATGTGTTTTTGGTATTTTTCTAAGAAAAGCATCGAAGTAACAATATAGAAAGGAATAAACTGCTCACCTGTTGTATCGTTGACAGAAGTTCTCTTTTCAACTCTATGTTTATAGTTCTTGTTCAAAATTATTGTTATGTACCTCTAAAACCCTTGCAATTAAAAGCACGAGTTCTTAAAACACACTGTAATATGTATGTAACGTTTTGAAGGAAACGTAGAAACTTTACAGGAAACGGTTTTTATGCCATCATTAGAATAAATTTGAACAACTTCAACCCTTTAACGATGCAAACCAAAGCCACCTGTGACTGATTTTGAGTTGGACTATATGTATATTTCAACGACATGACATTTATAATGATCATTTTAACTAAGGTTTCGATTGGAGAGCAAAGCGTGGAAAGTACGGCCTAAACCATTAAAGTTTATGAGATGGGATCGTAGTTAGAAGGTTAGATTATCTTTTCTGAGAAAGAACTTATACGTAAATATGTAAAGTGGGAAAAGTATAAATATTGCATGAGTAATAGAATTTTGTTTGGGTTATAACGAAATTATTTTTACATGTACATTGTTTGTAGTGATTTTATTAAAAAATTAGTTTCGTAGTGCTGTAACAATTCAATTGAGCGCTGTATTACAATATCTTAACAGTTATTTATAGTTTAATACTGTTGCAAAAATCGTTGAAAATCATATACTTAGGAGTATTCTAAAATCTAGAAAGTGTTTATTTTTATATCTTACGTGTTACAGGAACATTAGATAAAATATATAATTAGTGTTTGGTAAAACATATTCTGATTATTAACTTATATTCATCCTGGCTTGTTTTAGTTTGAATTTAAAAAATTAAAAAAAATATCAATAAATTTCTTTTATGGGAGAATTTATAAGTATTTCTTTAACAAACCAACCATGAATAAGTCTTATACACATCTGTTGAAAAATATGTTAACAAAAAGTGGAGTGCTCACAAAAGGTAATATAAAAATAGTAATAGATCATAGGAAAATATTACTCAGTTTCTCAAACTCAGTGATGCTTCTACCTGAAATACTTTTAATGTAAGATCCAAAATGTCTGAAAAAAATGTTTTATTTACTACAAACACTTGTCCTAACGTTTATTTTACAAGGAAACTTCTTACTTGGAAGTTTGATCGGGGGACACTCTTGCCATGAAAGTCACAATTAACAGTTACATTCAAACCAAGTTTTTCAACCACTATGTTGTATTTTTTAAATATCCAGAAATGATTTTGGCAACCGAAAGGTTTTTGTCGCGGACTCATGGTCGTTATTGGGGCAGTAGACTCGTGGGTTTGCATTCAGATGTAGTGACATAACAGAGAACATTTGGGCCACTGTCCAGATAACTCTCAGGACTCAAAGTTGCGGTAACCTTGCGTTACCGAGTCTTGGGTGCGATTGAGTACTTTTTATATGAAAACAAAAGTATAACATTGGGCAAAATTCACGTTACGTTATAGTCACATGTTAACTGCAGTCACGCGTTCCCAACCAACCAGCTCATAAATTCATGTCACGTTATTTTAATCACATGATAAATGCAATCGTGTGTTTTAAGCCAGCTAGTTCATGCACCTCGCTGTTGCCAACTTTTTCTTTTTGCAGAAACTTTCTTTTAAACAGTAATATTTGTCTACAATAAAATCGCACATAGGTAAACAAGATGCACGTGGTTTTAAAATAGACGTTTCCCATGAGATTTTTTTTTAATTTTGAAAAACTTTTTGAAGAATCTTAATACTTGAGCATCTGTAGACAATTATATCAGATTTGAAATTTATATAATAGATTTTGCGAGTAGGACAAGTACAAGTCTATAATGTCAGTTTTGAATGTAATGGAGAACACACACACACGTGATCGCATTTACCCCGTGACTGTCATGAATTTAACTCATTTAACACTTGGGTTGTTTCGGGATAATAAAAATCAGTCAAGACTTTTCCATAAAAACAAAGCACTCATAATTACGCTCAGCATCAATAAGAAAAATGAAAATCCAGTAACTTTATTATGATTCGCTAAGTTGATGTTTTAGCAGCAGCACCTTGGTGTGCAGCTAAGCAACAGGTGGGTTTATTGCCATAACATCACGAAAAATCATCTGAGAGACATGAAATTTTGAAGAGAGTATTATGTAATGTAGCGATGACGAAAGCATCGACGCTGAAAAGGAATACAACGCATACGGTAGGAATCAAAAAAAAACAATTTTTGAACGATATCGTGGCTCATGATTGTCTTTCCAACAGGAAGAACAACAAGCAGATGTTCCTTAATTTTGGTATATGCCCCCCCCCTTACTACTGGTTGTTTTGCACCGTCTCCGCATACTCAGAACCAGCTGGTGCTTTTTGAGGGGGGGGTGCCCTTTCCCTCAATCAACATCTTTTGAGTTGTTGGTTGTACTGGATGATGTGAGCGGTGGCAATACGTCTCCCCAAAGCATCCCACATGTTCGATGGGATTTAAATCTGGGGGACACGCGGGCCCCAATCCATTCAGTGATATTTCATTTTCCCAGAAACTCCTAAACAAAAAGGGCATGTGGCAGTGCATTGTCACCCCAAAAGGAAGTCTGGGCCAAGGGGTTTCGAAAAAATCAGATGGGGAAGAAGTACCTCCTCACAATAGCGATCCCCGGTTACAGACCCTCTGTCGAAAAGGGGAAAGTCAGTTCCGCCCAGCATAATGCCCCCCAGACAAGAACCCAGGACCACCTAACGTTTCTTTTCCTTGTTTTTGGGATAAAACCGGGCCCCGATCTCTCTCCCAAATCAAAAACGTTGAGAATCGCTTTGGTATAACCGACCCCATTCAAAAAAAACACGACTCCATTGATCAGTTTTCCAGTTTTGTGCTCTCTGTCCCCCTGAAACGGGGGGTGGCCATCTTTCAACGGGAGGCAGCGTTCAGGACGGCGGGTGAACAGGCCCCCCTTTTTGAAAGTGCTGGCCACAGTAAAACCCACACTTGTCGACCTGTTGCTGTGAGTTTCTGAGCGGGCGCTTGTGAATGCTGTCAACTTTTTTGCTTGCAGATGAAATTTTCGGTCATCCCCTGCAGTTGTCGTCCCGGGGGGACACCCCTTTAAAAGCTGCCGTGGTTTGGAATGTTTTGCGCGGAAACGACACTTTTTTTGATTCCAACCTTGGGACACTGGTGACATACGCCCCTCCCCCCAGCTTTTGATCATTCTTCCAAGGGTGAAGTCATCCAGATGATTTCTTCTAGCCATATTTCCGAACTGACTCACTGGCACTTGCAGGAATATGGTGAATTGAGTTCCCGTCTTTCATTTCATTCACGTTGAGCAGCGCGCCCGACATCCCACGCGTTTTGCGTACGCTCCACCCGTTTTGACGTTTTGTTCATTTTACGCGACGTTTCTACTGACCGTTTCCCCTCTACGTTTCCCAGACCCCCTTTTTTCTAATTTCATTATTGCTTTTTTACATTTTGCTTAAGTTTTGCACACCAGTGTAGTTTAAAAGCTTTTTGCTATCTTAAAATACGAAAATACGGGGAAATGTTATTATAGGAAAAAATATACCAAAGAACATTTTTTTAAAAAAAACAAGGCATAAATTTTATTTTGGTTTTTTTTATTGTTTTTTTTATTGCACGTGGTCTATCAATTTATTTAAATGTAAAATTTACCGTTATTATTTTTAGACATTTCTTTTCTTTGGGAACCTTTTTATATTCCGAAAAAGGGAAAAAAACGTTTTAAGCTTTTTTTCGTTCCCTTAAGGGGAATTGAACAAGTTTTTTTTCCAATGTATTTCTTTCGATTGGTGATCTTGATAGTGTTTTTCTCAATAGGAGTTTCCTTTTCGAGTCAATAGTTTTCGAAGAAATGTTTCGTTTATTTTTAAAGCAAAATAATAGGTGGAATTAAAATGAATGAGCCGATTTAGAATATAAACAGGTGAATGTAAAGATGCAAAAAATTTTTCCTAGTCGTAGAAATGGGAATGTTTAAAATTTCATATTTATTTGTTCAATCATTTTCTTGCAATACTTGAAAAGTTCGGCTCGTTATAAGAATAAAAAAAATCATATAAAGGATTTATCACTACGTAGGAAAAAAAAGAACAAAGTATTAAAATAAAAACGACGGCGCTTTACCAAATATTATTAGCGAACTATTTTATTTTCTTGGACGTAATATAAATTAGCAATATTTTCAATTTAATACATAAACTGCTATATTCTTAAAGACAGCATCATATTTATTCACATATTAATATTTAACAGAAGTACCCATTCGAAATTTACGTGTAACTACTTATTCATTCTGTTATTGTATCACAATAAGTAGTGTTCAGCAAAATAAATATTTGTTGTCAATATGGAATATTTTAATCGAATCCTAACAAATGTCTTAACGTCATAATTTGTTTCTTGAATTTATTTTATTCTAAAAGAAAATATTGTTTATGGGTTGACTAATGAAATAAATAAAGGCTATTTTCGTGGGATAATTTGGGCTATTTTTGTTTTACGTTTTGTTAAATAATTACATACTGAGTCTCATCTTCTTTTCAATTCTTACTATTAGTTCACAATCTCCCTATATATATATATCTTGTTCAAATTTTCAATCGTTAATAAAATACTTTCTATTCATCCATTCAAGTTCAAATACACTTTTTAAACTTGTAGTGGATGACATTTGATGTTAATACAGTTTTTTGCAAATATTAATTCATTAATTAAACTTAATTAATGTATAAATAGTAACAAACAAAAATAATAGTCCAACATCATATATAAAAAGGAAAATCGTTTGTTGTGTCCCTGTAGCGCAATAGATAGCGCGTTGGACTTCAAATTCAAAGGTCGAGTGTTTGAATCCTCCCTGGGATGGCTTAACTTCCGAGAATGTGATTTATGAATGAATAAATAGTAACAAACAAGAACATATAATAGTCCAACACCATATATAAAAAGGAAAATTGCTTTCTATTTTGCCCCTTAATAATCACAATATTGTGATTCTGTCATATCTATATACATATATATATTAATTGTAATTATTTAACAAAAAGTAACTAAAATAAAATTTTTCTTTGCTGACCAAGTAGGAACTGACTTTAATTTTTTTTCTTTATATTACTTGTTATTTCTAAATTTCAGAACTATTATTCTAGACTTTCCTTAACAAAACTAAAAAAATTTTTACTGGCCAATAGAATGTCATAATTTTATTTATAAATATAATAAGTTTCAAAAGGTTCTAAACTATTAATCGAGATTTTCAAAACTAAAGGATAATGTTTATGATATTTGGTTCTTTCGTTTTATAAAAATAGTTATAAAATTGTTTTAAAAATATATATTAAAAAATATAAAAAATTATTAATGATATTATTTTGGACAAAAATTAACATAAAATGCCCGCATTTTCAAAATATTCTCTTTTGTGAAAAATGCTTCTATTATAATAATATTTTGCCTGTATATAGCTCTGACCTCTGTACAGAGGCTCAACTAGAATTTTTGAAATGTATAACTTAGAAGTGGGTTTATCCATGTTTTACGACAACAGAGGGAAGAAATTTTAAGAAAAAACGCCGATAATTATTTCAATGGGTTGTAACTCTGAAAATAATGTGAATTTTTCAAAAATCATAGTTGAGTCTCTGTACAGAGGTCTGAGCTATATACGGGAAAAATATTATTATAATAGTAGCATTTTTGACAAAAGGAGGTTATTCTAAGTTAATTTTTTGCGAAATATTGTATTTAAGTAATTTTTTTGTCAAAATATCCTTAAAACCATTTTACACATGTATTCTAATCTAAGTGACACTAAATATCATGAAAATTATCCATTTATGCGCTTTTTTAAAATCACGGTTCCAAACGTAGTCGGATACCTTAAGGTATAAAAAGAAAAGAAAAAAAAAAAAATGAAAATGTAGTGAATAAGGCATATATACTTAAATATAGCTTTTTTTGTTTTTATAAATAAAATGTTAAAGGTACACTCTTAAATTAATGAGATAGATGGGACATGGAAATGCATTAGTAAAGGTTCAGCGCTTCGAGGTCGAGACTAGACGAATTGAGTCTTGCTTTCAAAATTATTATGATGGAGATTATATGTCGAATCAATTTCTCGATCAATGCAGAGCGTAAAAGTAAGGTACTTATATTTTGTTCTTGTCATCTAATTTTCTATTATACTCTATACCAGTGTTTCTTAAACAAGGAATCACCAAAAATTTTAGGATTTTTAATATTTTTTTCAATACGAAGACTGTGGAATACTTTTGGTTAGGAGTTGCGACAGAATTTCCGACAGCTTCTGAAACAGCAATACAATATCTTTTACCTTTTTCAAAAACTTATTTATTTTCGTTTTAAAACAACCATAAAATCAAAGTATCGATCACATCTGAAGAATATTGAAGAATTACTTCGTCTGGCGGTGACGACCGTTATTCCAAAATTTTATAACGTAATTAAAAAGTAATCAAGCACGTCCTTTCATATTAATCTCAATCTTGCATATGTCGTTTTAAATAAAAGGTAATTAAAATAAACTCACAATGATTATATTTAATAAACATAATAAACAAATTATAGTTTATGTATAATTTACACTGTAATTATATTACGTAATGTTTTTGAGCTCTATCACTCATATAAAGAATTCGACATCGTTAACTTCATCAAAAGTACAACGTATTAAATGGGCAGTCACGTTATCAGAATAAACGAAGACCGCACTACTAAAAAAATCTTCAATGCCCAACCAATTGGCACACAGAAGGGGCAGGCCAAATCTCAGATGGATTGATGGCCTAGAAAAAGATCTCTTAGTTTTGAGAACTAGGAATTGGAGAAGACTAGCAGGAAGAAGGCTGGCCTGGAAAAGGCTTCTTGAGAAGGCCAAGGCCCACCCTGGGCTGTCGTGCCACTGAGGAAGGAAGGAAGGGATTTTTTTTTAATTTTGTTACTTAATTAAAATTCATATATCGTTTTATTCAAGGTAAAACCTTATCGTTAATGTTTATTACAGCAAAACAATAATATATTACAAATAAAACACATATAGAAGTACCCAAGCGTGTGTAAACTTGGCGCAATGCTTATGGCGTCGCACAAAGTTTTTGTGCAAAAAATAAGGTTGCCTTCCACCGAAATGTTTATGAACACCTGCTCTATACGAAGGTGTTGTTGCTGTTTCTAATGCACCTGTCTGACGTAGTCAGATCGAGGCCCGAAATTCATCGTGGCAAAGGACTAGATGTACGCCTGTTGTTGGTCTTGAGCACCATACAGGTGACAGTACGATTTTGCTCGGAGAAATTCCAGAAGGGACGATAGATGGCGACACCACCGATCTCCACCTCCACAATTTAGGCATGGAACTGAAGGGGAGGGAAATATTCTCCAGTCTCCTGCACTCGTGATTCAGCTCACAAGATTTTCGGACCCACTGATTTAACGAGCACGTACTCCGTGTGTACTCGGAGGGTATTTAGTGGCATCGGGCATACGAAGGTTCTTTGTTATAATACCTATTTCCAAAAATCTGTTTTATTGCTCTGATATGATAATAATGAAAATAAACAACTTATGGATACTGGACACAAAAAGTCAAATGTACAAAAACGGATTTATTTTACAAAATTCATGCATATTACAATATATGGAATATTATTTTTCAGTTAAGTGAAATAGTTTTACAAGAACCAGAACAAGAAGGTCGGTGCGTGGGATACGACAATAGAGGGGGCGGGCAACAACTTCGATTAATCATCTTAAGATTATTTAAGATGGCTTTTGCTTCAACCCCGAGAATTTCGCAAAGTGAAAGTGACATTCCGACGTACCTTCTCTCCCTTATCCTTAGAAACAACGTTAAAATAATAATTTACGTCTGCGGCTAAGTTTCATGAACTATTTTTACCGTTATTATCTGAGAGGGATAGTACCAGAAAATTCGAATTATCCACAATTTCTTTCCTCATTAGGCAATGGCCAAAACTGTTGAATTCTAGGGACTGGGCAAAAAATTCGAAAGTTCGAATGTATAAGCAGTTATTTAACAATGGCAAAACAAAAACAAAAAAATAATTCGCGTCGAATTATTTTTTTAAATCATTTGATATATTTTTTTATGTTAAGAGTCTTGATTTTTTTCAATGACTATTTGTTTAGTAAAAAAGAAATGAAATATTTGTTAATTTTTATTAAAATTTTACCTTTTTTTTTTTGTATTCTATGTATTATAGGGGAATTTAAATTTTACTCGATTTAGCTCGATGTTTTAAAATTATAATATTATATATGCATAAATATTTTTACGTATGCATTTATATATATTTCAGAGATAGGAAGAAAATTATAAATGTGCGTGTGTGTCACATATAGTACGTATATAAGGAAAAATGGTGCATTTTTCTTTCTTCACTAAAAATATTTTTCATATCTGTCGAGAAACCTGAGAAATAGATGTAATGCTAGTATGTAAAAAAAGTGATTGTATAGTCTTCCATATTTCACTCATCGGGCATGTAATTTAACTTTTCATAAAATATAGAATTATTGGTTACGTATACAAGAATATAATAATAAATAATAATTTTAAAAAGCCAAAAAACACCGTTTTATAGTCAATCGAAATAAGTTGTAACTTAAATCTTTTAGTTACCAAATCTGGAATTAATCGCCAGATGCGGGATGGGATCTGAAAGTGGGAAATCGTTAATCCTGATGATCCTGATCAGGACAATGGAACAAAATTATTAAATTATTCCACTGTCATCGGTCCTGGAAAAGTGAGCAAAATTATGAATTAATCTGACTTTTTAAAGTGGGTAAAAATTGAGTTCAAAGATTCCATTACATACAAGAGAGGTTTATAAAAAGGTGTTAAAAAAATCATAGAATTTTTTTTTATGAATATCTGTTTGAGGTCTACTCAGTATAGATCAGGTGTTTATTCATTTCAGTAAAACTAGATATGCCTTACTGAATGCCGATAATTCTATTCCTACTATTAACTCACACTCTCTATTTATTTATTTTGGTTGAATTTTCAATCGTTAATAAAATACATTTTAAAGCGCTCAATTGAGCTTAAATTTTATATACATGATTATTTTGGATGACAATACAGTAATTTAATTATAATTAATAAAAATTAATTGATTAAAACTAGTTATTTAAAGAATTACAAATGCAGCTACTTTGGCATTATTTTTGGCGACTTAGCGACCATTTTGGTGTTGGTTTCACTTTTAGCGACTTGGGTCAAAACTTTAAAAGATTTTTTTTCACACGTTTTAAAGCATTCAGTTGAACTGAAATTTTATATAGACGATTGTTTTGGATGACAATACGATACTTTAACGATAATTAATAAAAATTAATTACCACTTAATGTTGTGATTCTGTTCTATGTATATATATTTATATATTAATTGTAACTATTTAATAAAAAGTAGCTAAAATTAAAATTTTCTTTGTTGATCTAAGTAGGAATTGACTTAAAATTTTTATTCATATTACATGTTACTCAGAGTAGTTCTGCTGGTAAGATATAGGAGAAAAAAATCTGAAACTACACAAAATAAAATGCATAGTAATAACTAGTATCCAACAAAAAAAATCTCCGAATTTCATGTAAGCGGACACAAAATAAACCTATTTAAATTGATACTGAACAAATATTTTTTTAAATAGTAAATAAGTTTCCGGTAAAATTATTTTCAATAATCAAATTCTTAATTATTTGATAAATTAAATTTTTAGAACTTCTAAAGTCAATTTCTTTTAACGAAAAAAAACAACTTAGGATATATGTCAGTCGTTTGTTTAAAGTACTGACAAAATATGAAAAGAAAATTAAA